ATCAGGGAAATACAAATCAAAACAACTCTGAGATTCCATTTTAATCCTGTAAGAATGGCCAAAATCTAAAACACTGATGAAACTTATGCTGGAGAGGTTGTGGGGTAAAGGGAACACTTCTGCATTGCTGGTGGGAATGCAAACTGGTATAGCCCCTATGCATATCAGCATGACCATTTATCAGAAAATTTGGAAACCACCTTCCTCAAGACCCAATAATACCACTTTTGGGTATACATCCAAAGGATGTTCAATCGTGCCCAAAAACATGTGCTCAACTATGTTCATAGCAGCATTGTTTGTCATAGCCAGAACCTGGAAATATCCTAAATGCCCCTTTAAGAATGCATAGGAAGATGTGGTACATTTACTCAATGGAGTTCTACACAGCAGAAAAACTAATGACATCTTGAAATTTGCAGGCAAATGGATGGATCTAGAAAATATCATTTTGAGTGAAGTAACCCAGTTCCCAAAAGACAAATATCATATGTACTCACTCATAAGTGGCTTTTAGACATAAAACAAAGAAAACCAGCCTACAATTCATAATCCCAAAGAACCTAGAAAATAATGAGTACCCTAAGAGAAATATACATGGATCTAATCAACATGGGAAGTAGAAAAAGACAAGATCTCGTGAGGAAATTGGGAGCATGTGGACCATGGAATAGGGTAAAAGGGGAGGGGAGAGGAAGGGAGGGGAGCAGAGAAAAAACGTATAGCTCAATAAAATCAATTAAAATAAAAAAAAATTCATAAAATGCTATTAGCCATACAAATGTAAGTCATGTACTGATTTTTTAAGCAGCTTTACTAACAGTATTGAGGAAAGATGTAAAATAATCAACATATTAAGAAAAGTAGATAGATATTTTATTTTATGGAAGATTAATTGATCTACTTTCCATTTACCTTTTGGTGTTTTTTCAGAAAAGTGTTTAATTATTAGAAGCAAAAAAATGTTAGCTTTCAAGGTGAAAAAATAATCTTAATATTAATAGGATTTATAGAAACCTAATTTTAGTGGTATACCTCAAAGCAAATATTGCAGCACAAACAGAGTTGCATCGCTATGATGCAGACATTGAAAAGAGAACTCCTTGGGAAGAAAAGTACTTGGAGGAGGATAGAAAGGGGGCAGGAGAGGATTTGGGCCATGTAAATGTAGTCAGACTATATTACATAATTGAATGTAAATATAATTATACTACTTTTTCCCATGCATAATGCATATATGCTAATGACATTTGTTTCAAAATACATGGAGATATATATTAAGAATAAAATTACAAGGAAAAAAATCACATTGTACTATCTGGATGTTGGATGTAGAGCTTTTGAAGGCATACTGAACTATAGTATGCCAGTGTCTCGCTTAGCATGGAAAGGGTATTTATTTGGATTCAAGGCAGAAGCTGTGCAAGGAGAATTTCTTTTCTTTTCTGATAATGTTTTTGTTTATTTTTTCAGTTTCATATTGTATTCTCTACATTGCATTCCTATTCATCCCCCTAATAATCCCTCCTAATTCCTCTTCCACTCCATTTGTACCTCCATCTTCTTCTACCTTGATGTTGTATGTGTGTGTATGCACGTGTCTCACATGCATCTGCTTGAATGTGTGTGTGTGTTTGCAAGCCTGTGTAGATAATCACAGTGCAGTATGTTCATGATTTTAAAGGTATGGCATATTCAGAAAACAGAGTTTTGCAGATTTTTTATCCATCTTCTGGCCCCAAAATCTTTATGACCCTCTCCCTGGAATCAGCAAAGGTGATATTGATGTCAACTTTAGGGATAAAGGCATAGCAGCCACCCATTTGTAGAGCTTTGATGATTAAGTCTACTCATTAAACATTACCTTCTGCAGCTGGGCGGTGGTGATGCATTCCTTTAATCCCAGCACTAAAGAGTCAGAGGCAGGAGGATCTCTGTGAGTTTGAGGCCAGCCTGGTCTACAAGAGCAAGTTCCAGGATAGGTACCAAAGCTACAGAGAAACCCTGTCTTGAAAAAAAACCAACCAACCAAATAAACAAACATTACCTTTTGCAAATGGAAAAAAAATATTAAAATGTATGTTATGAACTGTGTTTTTTACATAGAAGCTTTATGTGCCAAAATAAAGATTTTCATCCATAACAGCAAAATGAGAATCATATAAATTGAACAGAAATTATTTTTTATGTGGCTAGCTTTATGTGCCAAGATTAATTTTATTAATGAATTTAAACTTATACAACTATGTATGGAAACATTTTTCTCAATAAGATGAGTCATATTAACAAATTATGTATAATCCTTAATTATGTATATACATATTTCCATTAGTAACAGTTTATTGAGTTAGTGAGGTATGCTCATATGAGCGAAAGTTTAAGATGTTTAAATGTCTTAAATGTAAAGAAGGCTCATGACATGGAGTGAGGTCATGTTACTAAAAGAAGAGAATCACATGCAGACCACTGACAAATGTCAATTTTGACTGACAGATTCTCTGTAGCTTCTCACCTTCAGAAGCTCATTCCTATATGAAAACTTCTTTTCTTTAATTTTTATAACTTTTTACCAAACATACAACTGTTCAATACAGCATAATGTAATACTATTTACTTATTTGTTTGTTGTTTTTCTGAGACAGAATCTCACTATGTTGTGCTGAATGGCCTGAAACTCATTATGTAGAACAGGATTGTCTCAAACTCATAGAAATCCACCTGTCTCAGCCTCCCAGTGTTGGGATTAAAGATATGAAACAGCATACCCTGTGAAATTTCAAATCACATTAAAGTGGAAGTCCTCCAAATACAACATTGTATATCTTCCTTGGCAACACACATAAAAATCAAACTAAGAGGCATTTTGTATTTTATTGAAATAATTATGAATACCCTAAGAGTTTGGTTTTGATGAAAGAAGTGTTCACATTTCATAGGGGACATTAAATAGAAAGTTTCTGCATATGTATAGAATTATATGGGAATTGGGCATTGAAATTATAAGAGTGTACACATATATTTCAAATACATACATACATATATATATATATATATTATTGGTTAAAAAATAACCAATTGCAGTTCAAGAATGGAAAATATCAATTAACTGGTATGAACGGCATAGTCAAGTCAGTCAAATTCCAGCTGTGGTCTCAGCTGTGGAAAGAGCTACTCAATAAAAATAATTCTCAAAAGATCTTTCAACCCAGGGAGAAGCTATTCCCTAGGTTAATGCTAAAAATATCTGTGAGAAACACAGAGAAGTGTATGTATACCATACACTGTACTCATATCAGAAGGACATGGCTATTTCACAGAAGTTTTATGGATGTCACAATAAGAGTTGTTAAGAGAAGGGTTAAAACATTACCTTTCTTACTGACTCAGACAAGCTATGAATCCACAAGGTAAATCAGAATATATCAATGGCTAAAATTATAGATTCTTAGAGTAACATCTCTGAATCGGCAAACAAGATTTGTATATAATTAGGTATCCAAGTTTATGCCCACATGAAACTGTGATAAGAAATGATAGTAAAGTAGTTGATACCTACTATTTTATTGAATGAAAAAGTTTTTTTTAAGGTTTAGGAAAAGGCTTATTAAACGAAAGCATTCATATTCAAAATTGTATCTGGTTATCATTTAATATTTATATTATACTACCAATTCCTAGGCTGATATGTGGCTTACCTTCTATTTAAATGTCTCATGTTTTCACTGTGGTTGCTATAAAACAATTCTAGAGAATGCAAATTTTCAATTTCAGGTGTTTGATAAAACCATGGACCTAATTATATTTTAAACACTAGCTATCCTAATTTTATTTATTTAATGTGGAGAGTGATGGCTGTATTTTAACACAGATTTCCTCTAGACTTTGTGTGAGGATCCAGGATGGAAAATTGAGCCTGTGTGTACTAGAAATTATGGTAGGTTACTTTTCAAATAGAAAATTATCCATTATCCTCAACTTAGGTTTTCTCATAGTTGGAAAACCCTGCCAGTATTAGGTGTTGAATAGTGATGAACCTTGTCACTTTTCTGTATTTTCTTTCTCTGAATGAAAATCAACAATGGTCTGGATCTCTATCTGATTCTATGTCCTGATCCTTCAGAAGTAGTATTAATTTAAGTATGAAAAATTTAACTTTTGCACTGCTCTTTAAATTTCATGTTTGTTCAATTATTGTCTTTAACAATTTGTATGAAAGACTAGTTAATCAAATTGCTCCTTTGGTACTAGAAAAATTAGGCCAACAATAAAAATTTCACAGTCTTCCAATAGGAATTAAAATTTTTCCTGTTGGACACGTGTGATGGTTGGCAAATAAAATGACTTAAGGCTGAGACTAAGAATGTGACTTCAGTCCCCAGGGTCTAATGGGGCCCTGCAAGTTGTCTTCTCACCTTTGCATGCACTCTAGACCATGCATGTCTCACCTACCAACATGCAGGTACACATACACACACACGTGCATGTGCACACACACATACATGCACAAAGGGGGATAGTATAATTTATTTTTTTAAAAAAGAATTAGAATCTGAAATAATTTGCAAACTACTGCTGTGTATGTTATACCAGGTGATGGTTTAACAAGTGGAATGCTCTCTCCAATCTTTACTTAGGTGAAGAAAGGAAGAAAACCATGGGTCTTGTGGCTATTATCTAGCAAATCTAGGCATTTAGAACAGAAGTTCAGAACCCACAAAATAAATTAATTGATGGTAACAAACACCATCAATCAGAGAAAATAGAGAGGTGAGCTCTTTCTCATCCTCACAGTTTTCAAAGAACTATCCGAAAAGCATTCCCTATAAAGATGGTCTCATTCATGGTTTTTATTCCATTCTCCGCATTAAACCAAAATAACTAAAATTTCACTAGCTTCAAAGCATTTCATATATATACTTGTGTGTATTTATATGTATATATATTCTAACTAATCTATTTTTCATATATTAAATAAACTCTTCCACATCTCTCTTTTATAGAACTGAACACTACACATACTCAAGTCACTTTCTTCTTTCTCACTGGTGTGCCAGGCTTAGAAGATATCCAAATTTGGATCTCCATCCCCTTCAGCTTCATGTACCTCTTGGCTGTGTTAGGCAATGTGTTGGTCGTGGCAGTGGTGGTCTTGGACCACAGCCTCCACGAACCCATGTATCTCTTCCTGGCCATGTTGGCATTCAACGATGTTCTCCTCTGTACTGTCACAGTGCCCCAAATGCTGCTCATTTTCTGGCAGGGTCCCTTGGCAGTTGCCCTCCCTGCCTGCCTCACACAAATGTTTTTTGTCCATGCTCTGTTCCTGTCTGAATCTGCAGTCTTACTGGCCATGGCTTTTGACCGCTATGTGGCTATCTGCACACCACTGCATTATACAACCCTGCTTACAGGCCCTCTCCTTCTCAAGGTTGGGCTGGCCCTGGGAGCTCGGAGTGTGGCTGTTGTCACTCCTGGGGTTCTCCTTATTCTCCGCCTAGACTTCTGCCGGGGCACCATTATCCTCCACACGTACTGTGAGAACATGGGCATCGCCAAGTTGGCCTGCAACAGCATTACCTTAAATAGCATTTACGGGCTCTCGGCGGCTCTCCTCACCACAGGGCTGGACTTTGTCTTCATTTCCTTGTCCTACTGGCTAATCTTGAAAACTGTCCTACAACTGCCATCCAGGGAAGCCAGGACAAAAGCCTTTGGCACCTGCGGAGCTCACATTTGTGTTATTTTGGTATTCTACACACTGGCCTTTTTCTCTTTCTTTACTCATCGCTTTGGACACCATGTGCCTAGCCACACCCTCATACTCCTGGCAAATCTGTATCTACTGATACCCCCAACCATGAACCCCATTGTTTATGGAATAAAGACCAAAGAGATAAGGATTCGAGTAGTAGGGCTTTGTTTCCGATCAGAATGATTCAAGTCTATGGAACAGCAAAGACCAGAGAATCCAAGACAAACCATAAGGCTTAAATAAAAATCCAAAAACAGTCTGTTTGGATGTAGCCATGGAGCATTTGCCATTCAATAAAAACTCTGAATAGAATTAAAAAGAGGAAGAACACAATGTTGTGTGGGTGAGAAGGTCGGGAGGATCTTGGAAGAGATGGGAGAGGGGAATCTATAACCAAAATACAATGTATGAAAGTTTAAATAAAAGCATACGCAAAATGTTTTAAAAATAAGTAAAACCATAATATATTATTCCTAAAATTATTGTGTTATAAATAGAAAGTTTACAGGAAGTATAAGTACCTTTGAAGACTGTATCAGCATATTACAGTAATCAAGGGAAATCAGTGTACTAGAGAAAGTTAAATGTTTTTGTACTGTATGCATCTTTCTATATCAGTTCTGCATAGACATAATAAAATGATACCTTTGTGAACTCAAAAATTACTAATTATCTCAGTCTCAGGAATAACAGAAATGAATGAATTCATAAATGCTCACCAGATAGGCAATTTAAGCAATCAAATAATAAAAGCTAATGAGCATATATAATAGGTTCCTGCCAGTGGCCCTGTCAGAGGAGTAACAGGTGGCAAATTGAAGGAGGAAACTCCCAGACAGGTGAATCTCAGATAGGCAAGTCCCCGAAACCACAGACTCCAGAATGTCTTTCGTTGCTGCTGTGCCTTTACATGTTTGCTGCTGCTATCTGTCTCTAGTATCTGGTGTGGTGTGAATGGGTACTGAGACATCTTCACTGCACGTAATGTAGTGTTTATCTCATGGAAACATCCTGTTCCACTGGCCATTCTTACCTGTGGATTATTATGAAGATGATTCCTTCCTAAGCTGTACTGTCTAATTGATAATAATAAAGTAAGTTTATACAGAGCATTGATGAATAAAGATATATACACAGCCAGGACCTATAAGTTTCACCTAAGGAACTGCATAGATTACAGCTCAAGTTAGTGATTAAGAAAAACAGTTGAGTCCCAAGAGCCAGGTTGTCTTGAATTCCTTTAATCTTAATGCAGAAAGATCCAGTCACTGGTTGCAGTGTTCTTCGTTAGCTGAAATAAAGCCTTATAATAACTGCAGGTTAGATCAGATGTTTTGATAATAGGTTGGAAAAACCTAATAAGAAAATCTAAAGTTTTAGAAAAGACACATAGCTGAGTGAGGAACTCTTTAAGGGTTGGGGAACAAGAATGAAAGAATCCAATTACTGCTAACTGATGATACACTTTTATTGCTAGAATCAGTTGATGACCAAAAGTGAGATCAATTCTTTATACTCGATTCTGCCCTCAATCTCCTGATATAAAAACTACTTACAAGTATGTGTGCATCTTAAAGTTTTAAAATAGAGCTGATTCTTCTTCATATAGGTTTGTGATTCCTATAAGATTCCTTATAAGATTACCTTCCAAGATAAATAATAAAATAACTGGTCCTTTTTTTGCAACTGCAAAATGCAACCTGCCAGTAAAAGAACTGACTGAGAAGAATGCCTTGCTTGCCTTCATCATTAATACCGTAACAATTTGCTTGGGTATGAATGTATGTGGTTTCTTGAGATAATTTATTTTTCATCAGTAATATATAAATGTTTATTCATGTAAGGGATTCAGAGAATATGTTGCGTTTTACATGTTCATTGTTATCTTTCACTTGAAAAACAGAATGTAACCACATTGCAATTTTTATATTACCTGAAAGATTTTTGCTGGGATATAAGCTACAAGGGAAAGAATAAAGAAAGAGTTAAAATGGGTTAGAAGAAAAACATCAGGAATGAGAGAGTTAGAAGGGAAGCATCAAGAATAGAGTTAGAACTTAAACATCGAGAATGAGAGAAGGAAATCACCAGGAAAATAGAGAATTGAGAACACAAAAGAAGAATAAAGAAGTGGTCTGAAAGAATTCACTGAGCAAGTGTGCGAGATGTGTGAGTTACTTTTTTCCTTAACCCCCTCAGATAAAAATGGCTTAGCAAGCACCAATTCCTGAACCTCCTTTGAGCCCTGCCCTGCTGGGGGATGCTCCACCAGGCACCAAAAAGCTCCCTACAAACCACCTAGGTAAAGGATCTATTCATAAAGTACATTATTTTATTTTATTTTAAATTTTCATGTCTTTCATTTAAGTACAATTATATCACTCTCCCCTCACCATGCCACAGTTTCATCCCTCAAAACCCTGCCATTCCCTTACAGACTTAAACTGATAGCCTCTTTGACCCTTCAATTTTTTTTTTGGTACTTGCCAAACAAACTTGTGTTTATGTACAAATATATATATACAACCAGTTAAATTCATTTTCTTGTTTGTGTATATGCATCCAAGGCTGAGCATTCTTCATTGAATAGTCGATAAGGAAGTTAGCCTCGCCTCCCTGAAGTCAATAGCCAATTTAGTTTATTTTAGCAATTAGAATAGAAATTTTATTGACACACAATAAGAAATACATGAAAACAAGTGCAAATTAAATAAATTCATTTTGTTTTTTTATTTTGTATTTTAAACAAAGCTTTATTTTAAAGACAAAACTTTACTTGATCTTTTTTTTGAAGTTACATCTAAAAATCATTCTGAGAATCATTAATATAAAGGAGTTGAGAACATGGGTTAAAATGTTTGTAAGGTTATTTTTTATTATTTTATTACTTTAAAAAATACCAATCCAGATGGGCGGTGGTGGCACACTCCTTTAATCCCAGCACTCGGGAGACCAGCCTGGTCTACAGAGCTAGTTCCAGGACAGGCTTCAAAACCACAGAGAAACCCTGTCTCGAAAAACAAAACAAAACAAAACAAAAAAACCAAAAAACAAAAAAACAAAAACAAAAACAAAAAAAAAAAACCTACCAATCCAAATTCGCACTCCCTCCTATCCTCCCAGTCCCCTCCCAGGTAAGGTTATTTTTATTTTAGTGTGAACATGCCTTGGAGTTCACATCACAGTGGGGCTCTGAAGGGAACTGAGTGCTGGATCCTGTGATGTTGAGGACCCTTATGTGTCTGCTGTCTTCCCCCAGTTCAGACCATCCATTTTCAGTCAGAGGAACATGAATGGCATCATAATGATGAATGGCCAATGACTGAAGTAACCACTGTGCCTTTGTCTCAGAGCCTACCACCCCAAGATGTGAGCTGCCTGATGATGAAAATGAAGGTTTGAACTGGGGTAAGAGAGATTTTTAATATTTTATAATCTGAGAACAATAAGAAATCAGAGATACATTTTAAAATGTGGGATTTATGTTTAAAATTTTTTGGTGTATGTTTACCCATTGAAATCAAGAATTTACTACAACAGTACACAGTCAAGATCCAGAAAAGTATTCCCATACTTGATCTAATAAAAGCAGAAAAAATAGTGTAATATTTTCAATCTCAGCAAGTACTTACTAAGTACTTTGTTTCAGGTTGGGTGCAAAAATTAATCAGTTTTAACTTGTGAGAAATATTAGTGAGAACAGTGTTTCCATGAAGGTACTTATTTATGTGCCTGTATCTGTGAGAATGCACTTCCCATGTGGCTATAAGAGCAGTCAGAGAAGAGCGGCAAATCACCTGGAGTTTCAGTTCCAGGCACTGGAAGCCAACCAACACTTGTCCAGGGAACCAAACTCAGGTACTGTGCAAGGGCAGCAAGCACTCTTCACTACTGAGCCATCGCTGCAGGCTTAAGATTATCTCATCCCTACTGGCTAGATAGCTTTTATAGTGCTGAAAGGAGCCATGCACACCACCACAGAAAGAAAGTACTATCAGCCTTACCCCGCAGTGAAAGCTGAATCTACAGAAATGACTGGTCTGGCAGACATGCCCATTGGTACAACTGGAACAAACATAATGGAAATAAACAAGCACATTCTGATTGGATTTTAAAATCCTTTCCCCCAAGATGTAATCTATAGCTGGCACTGTTATTGTGCCAAAAACCTATGTCTAGACAGGTCATAGTCCCTAGGGAAGGACCTATTACTATTATTCTGCTGCATGGACATGGCATTGAACCAATTGCCCATAGATTAGTGCATCTCTCAGCAATCATCAGAGAGGCTTCTATGACAGTCACTAGCTGACACGGTGACACACAACTAAGGTGCAGACAGTAAGAGGCTGGAGAATGTTTTCCCCTGAGTAGGACATCTATGATGTACCCCTCCTCTCAAGACTCAGGTGATTCATGACTGCAATGAAACAGGGTAACTGAACTCAGACAAGCAGCTGCCTATATGAACTTATAGTGGTTGGGAGAGCATACGCAAGAACTGTGAAGACCCAAGCCAGGCCAAGGAAGGAGATGGGCACTAGTACCACCCCTAACTGAGGAACTCTTTGTAAGTGGTGGCTGTTAAGAGAGAGAAGGAATCAGTATTGTTTGATATTTATCACTTTACAAGAGAGAGCCCACATAGTGTTTGGGCAGCACAAACTGGTCTTGTTTAAGATTTTCATGCAAAAACAATCTGCTTTGATCAAATCTACCCCCACTTTACTCACCTCTAACTTTAGCCCCCAACTTCTTGTGCTCGTCTTTGAAGTCCACTTGGATTTGTGAGAGTGCATGGGGTAGAATTATCAAACTGGAACATGAGTAAGTCTCCTGGGTTAAGTCTCTGAAGAAAACATCACTGGCTCCTCAGATTGTGTTAAGGTGTCAAAAGCTCTTCCCAGATCTAGGCTGATCTTTTGGCTGGCTTAAATCTGTGCAGGTACTGTGCATTCAGTCTGTACTGCAAGAGGTTGTGTGCGCAGAAACTTTGTTATTTCAGCAAATATGTTCCACACTGATGATTACTACCTCTGGCTCTTACAGTCTTTCCAAACCCTCTCCCATGATGATCCTTGAGTTTGAGTGAAGAGTTTGATACCAATGATCCCTCTACAGTCTTTTCTCTCTGTACATTGGTCAGTTGTAGGTCTCTATATAAATTTACAAATACTCTAAAA